CATGATCCGTGGATACCTTCAGATCCACCCTCCTTCCCAATCTTGAAGACAGGTATGACCTTAGAAGGTCCAGTAGTTGCCTACCTTATCGATCCAATAACGTTTACTTGAAACTCTAACAAGATTCGATCTTTATTCTACCCAGCTTCTGCCGATCTAATCCTGTCCATACCTCTTCCCTCATATCCGAGGGAAGATAAAATCATCTGGCACTATGATAAATCTGGTCAATATACAGTGAAATCGGGGTACCACCTCTTAACAAATGAAATTAACCCATTTCATAATAGTATACCAGACTACTTGGACACAAAATTTTGGAAATCATTATGGAGTATACCAGTACCACCAAAACTGAAATTCTTCCTTTGGAGAATAGTTCGGGGGTTCCTTCCTGTTCGCAAAATACTGCAATTTAAAAGATTGACTACGTCTAGCGAGTGTCCAGTGAGCTGTGAGCCAACTGAGGACATTAATCATTGCTTTTTTGAATGTAGGATTGCAAAAGAGTTATGGATTATGGCTGGATTGGAACATCGTAAAAACTCAATGCGCTCCTTCCAACCAGATCTGGCATGGAAAAATCTATTCTGCGCTGCTCACATCTCCAAGATCAAGATTGCCGATACGGTCTTCCTATTCTGGCGAATTTGGAAAGGTAGATGCAAAGCTACTTATGCTTTAGTATTACTTCAAGCTCGAGTTTTGTTCCGACAACTAACAGCGCATATAGAGGAATGGCGAACGGCGGAGGGACAGAAAGCTCAGCAACCCACAGGTGTTCAGAGATCATCGGCGAACCCTAACAATCAAACAGGACCTCGAAGGAGTCATCCAGATGTTATATGCCCTAATAACGGTATCCTTGTGAGATTTGACGGAGCCATGAAGAAAAACCAAGGAGGCTCCATCGGATTTGCGGGATTCTCGAGAGACGGTACGTTATCCTTTGCTTTTGGTAAATATTATGAAGGAATTTCGGAGGCTTACATATCCGAGCTTCTAGATCTTAGAGACGCTATGAGATGGTGCTTAACACATAATTTTTTGGTGGTTGCATTTTGTGGAGACGCTCAACTGGTTATCAAGCACGCTATGGCATAGAATGCTTCTCACTCTCGAGCAGGGGCCGTCTTGGAGGAAGTTCACTCCTTTTTCTCCTTTTTTGAGTCAGTGTCGTGTCTTTTTGCTCCTCGGAGCTTTAACAGAGCTGCCCATGTAGTGGCTAATCAGGCTCTTTCATCGGGAATCCGCTTGCTTACGAATTACCGTCCTTTTTTGGAATCTACTTGTACCTGAGTCGAGTCTTTGTCCCATGCCCTCTGGGCTTGCCTTGGAAAGAAAAAAAAAAATAAAACTAAACAATCATTCATAAATTAGTCACTCAACCAATTTTGAAAATTATTCACCAAAAATTTGGTGAAACCAAACTGCAAAGAACAACCTACTATAGACGAGCCCAAACTTTTAAAGTAACCCAATTATCATGGTATTTCAATAGAGAAACTTATTTTGGTATAAACAAAAACACACACCACATAGAGTCACCGTACATAGAGAACATAGATATCCCCAGAACACACATAAAATTCCATCCCCTGGATCGGTTTCAAAGACGACAATGAATCAGGCGAGTTGGTAGAACCTCATTGAGCAGCCATCATTCTCTCTTCTTCCGTAGCGGTAACTCTTGCATGCTTCCAGCTTCCCCTTCACGTCGGAGAGACACGCCTCGCAGGCCGCCACGTCGCTCGTGCGACAGGACGCGGAGCCGCCGACATTGCCGCTGGCGTTCTCTGGGTACCAGAAGTCGGCAGAAAGTGTCGGAGCGCTGGGAGTTGTGGTCTCCAGCGCCGTAAGAACTTGCTCCACGTAATAACCCCAGTTGGAGCCCAGTGCTTCACCAGGCGCTTGTGCGTGAGCTGGACCGCCATTGCCGCCGGAACATTCAAGCGACGGTGGGAATTCCGGATCACCGGGAAGTTGAGCGTTTCCGGTCGACGCGCCACCGAAACATAGGATGACCGCTAGTAGTAGTGCGGCGCCGACGATTGTTGTCGTGGACGATGGATGATGCTCCATAGCAGCAGCCAGCTGGAATACTCAGAATTCTTATTTAAGTTTTGAGGTATGATTGTTTGTTTAATTTTGTGGCTCAAAAGGGAGACAAGTAGTGTTGTCCCTTTTTATAGGGTGGTTCATGTTGTACACATACGTTTGTACACATACGTTTAGCAGTTTATCATAAATACGATCGGCCAAACGATAGATGATGCGATTTTGTTCAAGAATAAAGCAAAAATACAAAGGAAATGGACAATAAGAATGATACAAGATCAAAAGCAAAAGGCCAAAGGGTTATGTCAGGGAAGCAAAAGAAGACGACAGAACAAAAATGATGGAATAAGAAAAACAAAGAGTTAGATGAAGGAGACGACGAAAGGAAAAAGGAGAAATAATGTCAATTACCAAGAAGCCAAACACTCAAAACACAAGGAAAACTCTAGCAATTTTCAAAAAGTTATTCAATGTGTTTTCTGTTAAAATTTTCGTTGCTAAATTCGGTTGAATTAAAGTCTACCCGGTATGACATAAGCTAAATGGATATGTAAAGTTTTCACCCCTCTCTAATTTGGCTTAATGCCACGTTTTGTCACTGAGTTTATTAAAATGTGTCATGTTTAGTCACTAGAAAAAATTAATACCAACAATGGTCACTAAGTTTAGTAAAACAAGTCATATTTTGTCACTCTCCGTTAGTCTCCATCCAACTCCGTTAATACAGTCCGTTAAGTACTGACGTGGCAAACAAAATCACCTAATCAGCCGAATTTAACCCAACAAAAATAAAACCCGACCCGCCACATCATTATAACTACCCTAACTCATGACCCAACCCTTTCTCTTCTTCTCTATTTGACCCGACCGACCCGAACCATCGTCCTTCTTTTCTCTCCAACAACACCTGCCTGGCGACGAAGCAGATCCTCGACACCAATGAATTCGTCCCCAACGCCAAATACCACCGACTCATCTAGATCTGGTCCAAATAAAACCTCCACTATCCGCTCGACATCTCTTCCGTCGAGTCGGCATCGCCGCTCTCCCCGGGCAAAATGCAGCTCGTCATCAAGGAAATCGATAATCGCATCGTTCTCAAAGGAATCCGTCGAGAATCGTCACTTCCCGGCGAAGATGAACGGATTCGTGACAATGCTCGCAAATCTGATTCATTCGGATGTTAAGGATATATCCCCGCCGGTGGTGGAGATGGCGGTTAGGGTTTTGGATTCGGTGTAGCCCAACTTGGCGATTTTCACGAGCTGATGATGCCTTTTGTTGGAAATATATGTTCCACGTGATGCGGGCTGTGGTTTATGGGATAATAATTGTATTAGTTATTTGTTAAAGTGAGCTAATTATAAGTGGTCAAATTATGGAGCCCAAGACTACTCAATATCTGATATGGGCCCAATGAGTGGAACCCAGATACTAAACCTAATTAGGGTTTTATGGGAACCCTAGCTAAACACAGTATATAAAGAACCTAGAGGTTGTGGTCCCCAAAATACCAAGACCGAAAATACAACCAACCTCACAGTTAGGGCAGAAACTAATAGGTCTCGATGAGCCGCTGGTATAGGCTGGGAAAAATGAGATTTTTGAACGGCTACAAGATCCCTTGCCTATGGCCTATATGTAAATAGTGACTTAGCTTCAAATAAAGGCTCTAGAATTAGCATAGTAGAATCACACACAGTTCGTGTAATCAAAATCTCGTTTTAAAATTTAGGGGTCGTTTGAAGAATGAGAGTTCGAATCTAGAGATTTTAACGAATCTAGAGATTTTAATTTCTTGGATTGTTTGAATATGATTCTAAAATTTTACGTGTTTGGTAACTGTAACCTGAAAAAATATAGATTCTAATTTTCAATAAAAATACATATTTGTCCTCAACAATCAAGGCGCCAAAATCAGTGTGACAATTGTTTAAAATCCATTTTCTTTGTCGACTGAGTTCTGGTTGCTTCTTGTTCCATCCTTCATTCTTCTTGTCCTCTTCTTCTACAATACCACTCTGCTGCTAAAAGCAAGAGGCACCCCTGGAAACAAAACTTCTTTCATTCTCCAACTAGCTTCTCCGTTGCAGCTTTTATCCCGGACAAATATGAGGAGCATAATTAATTACAACCTGGAAATATAATATGCAACTAGTATAAAGGGTATGAATGATAAACAATGTAGCAGCTGTGGTTTGTTCACTAGAATTACTTAAAAAGCTTACATTTGTCATTAAAATTAATTTATTCCATTCGTAGTCACTTAAATTAGGTTAACAGTTCAACTCTGGTCACTGGCCGTTAGTTTACGTTAACTTTTGCTGATGTGGCAGTCAACTCTTATAGTTGACCATTAAATAAGTGACGTGACAATTAAAACATTAATAAAATATAATTATTTTTTATTTTTCACCTAATTATTATAAAAATTTTAAAAAATCCTAACTCCTTTATTATTATTTTTCACCGCCAGACCGTCGTCGTTCCATCGCAAGGATGTCCGACGCCTCCCCTGCAAAGTGCAAACAGCCCTTCCAGCCGCTCGAAATAGCTCGAGATCGCCTCGAACCCTTCATCCCCCTGCAGCGACCTCGGGTAGTTGCCCTTGTAGAGCCCGATCGCCTCGTTCACTTGGGCCGCCAGGTCTGACAGCTCCGAGCTTGATTCATCCGCTGCCGCCGTCGCCCATCAGAATACGTTCTGGATCGAACTGTCCAACATGAGAGGGTTGTGCGTCTTTGGAGATTCACCGCCTCCACCATGATCGAAGTCCTCCGGGAACCAGTGAGCGCTCTCGACGCAGCCATGTTGCATTTCCATATCAGACACGACAACGCCTCTACTCTCGACACCTTGATTGCCGCAAGGGCTCTAAGCTTTTCTATTGAGTCGAAATCGAATGCGAATCGCCTCGTTGCTAAGTTCTTCCCTTCGTTGAACTAGAGGGTTTCCATCAGATTGAGGTTATTTTCAGGGGAGGGTTCCCTCGGCAGGAACAGCCGAGCCTTCACGGCAAAATCGAGACGAACGACGCCATCCGGATCGCCGCGAGACACGACGCAGATGGTTTTCAGGAAGGATCGCATCATGGCGGCGTCGACCAGCTGGTGCGAGCACGCCCAACCCAGCGCGACCCCGCCGCAAGATAGAATAGAGGCATGAAACTCGAGAACAGGGGAGGCCGTGTTTTTGGGCTTTCTCTGGAATGGCTGTCGGGGGAGGAGGCGGTTCAAAAGCTCTGTCTCGCGGCGTTTCAGGAAATGGGCGATGCGGCAATCGACTCGGGCGTGGGTGAAAGGGAAGTCCTCGTCGAACCTGTCGATGATGACATTGGCGGGTCTGGTCCAGCCGGAGAAAGGGTAGTAGATGTTGAGAGTTTCCGCAATGGAGAGCTTCAGGTGCTGGACGATGGCGTCGGAAGGGTGGGGATTCGGATTGGCATCAAGAATGGCGTAGAACAGAATGATTGAGGTGAAGGTTAAGGGGAGAGGAACGACGATGGTCTGGCGGTGGAAGATAATAATAAAGGAACTAGGATTTTTTTAATAATAATTAGGTGGAAAATAAAAAATAGTTACATTTATTATTTTATTAATTTTTTAATTGCCACGTCGGTCATTTAACGGCCAATTATAAGAGTTGACCGTCACATCAACAAAAGTTAACGGAGACTAACGGCCAGTGGCCAAACTTGAACTGTTAACCTAATTTAAGTGACTACGGATGAAATAAATTGATTTTAGTGGCAAACACGAACTTTTTAAGTAATTCTAGTGACTAACGTGCAATTTAGCCTATAAAAGGAACTCTTTTGTATGGTCAATTGGTCATGATCCAAAACGATGGAAAGACGAAAGAAAGAAAGAAAGTCAGTAGAAAAAGAAGGTCAAAGGGTTAATTGGGGAGCGGATTAGGTTAGTAACATTATGGTGAGTAAATTAGTAATGATAAATTCGTCCACATCAGCATGATATAAGTATCCCTCTTTCTCATGGAAATATTTTTATCTTATCTCCTTTAATTTTTAAAGGATGATTTCTCTCTCTTTTTAAGTCGAAATTTAAATTTTTTTGCACAGATAAATTAGATTAATTGTGCTCTTTAAAATGATATCGACTTTGATATATTTTTAGAACAAAAAAAAATTGAAACATTTTTTACCAGTCAATATCATATGGTATGCTCCTATTTAGTACCATATGGTAAGAAAATGCACCATGATGGTATGGACATACCAATACTGTAGGGAGGTTGAATACATAATAGTAGGAGTATAATAACTAGGGTTGGGCATTCGGTCGGTTCGGCTTCGACCGCACCGAAATTATGAATACTGGGTCTCCGAATTCTCCCAAATCTCAAACCGAATTCGAACCGAATTATAATTCGGTTCGGTCGGTTTAAACCGAATTATAATTCGGTTCGGTTTTCACACAAAACCAATTTTGTGAAGCTACTTGTATTTTCTCACTTTTAAATTATGTGTCATCCTAATATAAACAATAAATATGCAATTATATGCATCATCAATGATAAAATCAAACTTTTCAACACATAAATCATAAAACATTTCAAATATATAAGTCTAAAAACAACTACAAACATAAAAATCCACTATTTGGAGCTTGTAATTATAGTATTTCGGTCGGAAATTCGGTTCGGTTGAAAGAACCCTGATTTCCGAACTATCCATATTTTCCTTCCGAATTCCGAACCGAATAGCATTAATTTGGTTTCGGTTCGGTTCAGGTTTACCGAACCGTTTGCCCACCCCTAATAATAACTGTCATTTACGACTTTCATCATTGTTAATTACCACAAGTTACCACGCACATACCAGAGTGGTAAAGTATGGTAATTTTTGGTCCTGTATTTTTTTTCCCAAAAAATTTGTAGATCCAATAGATCATGATGAACTCGTTCCTTCTGAGCAAACGTTTTAAAAAACGACTTAAAAATGAAAAAGTTACCATATGGTATGTAGTTGGTAACGGGAGGTATGAAAAAAGGTTTCTCGAAATATATTGAAAATTGATCTCATTCTGTAGAGCACAACGAACTCGTTCCATCTGTGCAAAAAAAAATTGAAATTTGAGTTATAACGAAGAAGATAAGAGCCGATTAAGAAAACTAGAGAAAATAAAATGTCTTTATTTTACAATCCTTAATCTAAATCTTTAGGGCCCACAAAAATATAAAAATCCAGATTTAGTTACTCAACGGTCAGTAACCAATTGTTACTGACCGTATCCCAAGTCGGTTAATTGCAGGAATAAATGGGATATTGTTGTGAAATTATATCCGGTAGATTATTGATTTTAAATCTCTACCTTTTAGAGAGATTTGATATCTCTATTTTTTAGATATTTTAAATCTCAAAACTTAAATCTGGATATGTTAATTGTGGCAACAAAACAATGCTTTTATTTAAATCACTAGATTCAATAAATTCATCTCCTAAATCATGTTTTCCAAACGACCTCTTAAAGCTTACACTTTTACACTTCTAGGTCACCAAAACGCTTCTACGTAGAATCACTCTATTCAGTTACAATTTTAGTCAAAATCTACGCTTAGAAGCTTACGTTTTTATGCCTTCAGGACATCAAAATGCTTCTACGTAGAATTGCAATTTTGACTAAATTGCACACTCAGTAGCTCGATCGACAACAAGCAACAACATTTAAACTATGGACTCGTTCACAGTAGCTCGATTGACAATAATCAACAACATTTAAACATTCATGTAATTTGATGGAGTTTATGAGTTGAGTAATTATTGTTGGTCTTTAATTCTAGTTGATTATCAATTTATATCTATTTTAAATTATTTTTTATTAAGAGAATAAAGAACTTAAAAGAACACATCCAAATGTAAGAATTTTTTAAAAAGAAACACATAATTGAAAAAGGAGAAAGTCTTATGCTAGTTAGGTTACCAATCGATTATTTTTATATAACTTTGCCAAATCACTTGTTTAACAGTTATCTGATTAATCTAAATGAATAATCGATAATAAATATATGATTATGAATAACAGACTAAAATAACTATGTAGTTAACAATATGCATACATTACTTAAAAATTAACCAATAACCGACTAAATAATTAGTCTGATAAACAAGCCGATTATCAACCCTATCAAATATTTTTTGATATAGGATAATATGACAAACAAAAAAGACTCACCTTTTCATTAATTTTATTAATAATAATAGAAAACCATTTGGTTCTATGAATCACAAACTGAATCTTTCGACAATATAATCCTCTTCCTTGCGAACGTCAATCAAACCCATCATCGCGGGTACCCAAGACCCAGTCAATGTGAGGAATTCCTGCTTTCATCGGGTATAGATAAAACTCGTAAAAAGTTTGATGGGTATGAGGTGAGTATGGTTTTAGCCTCCCCGCCCCGTACCCATACCCGCCTCACCAAGAGAATTTCTTCACATATAAAAAAAAATGGATAAAATTGCATTCTATCAATGATGATGAGGAATTGAAGATAACTCGAGAAAATAAATAGTAGAAATGCAATTGAGTGGCCACCCTAATCAAAATCTAATTCATTTTCCTCAATTCACCCTTCACTCTTTCACTTTCCCATTGTCAACAAGATAATGTTAGTCAAATATTACTTAGTAGATATATCAGAGTTAGAGCATAATAATTGAGAAAATATTGTACTCTATATTATATATTAATGGATATTTTAGAATCATATTTTTTGAACTGTATTAAGAAAATGACCTTATTTTGTTGACTTCATGATATAATAGATTCGCTAAGTGTTATAATTAAAAAATTTCTTCTAAGTTTTAGGTATAATAATGTTAGTTGTACGGGGACAGGTATTACATGAGTACCCGAAACCCATGGGTATGAGGATGAGTTTATAAAACATTTCCCGCATGAGTATGGGGTGGGTATGAATTTGGGTATTTGAAAATGAGGATGATGATGGTTTAGGTAAACCCGTCTCATTGTCATCCCTACTTGCTAGTGTCGTCAGTTGGTAATTAGGCTTACAGTTTGTTAAGAAATATTTTTTAAGGGCTAAAATTGTTGGTACGGAGAAATTAAACATGGGTTTACTGTTTAAACAATCCTGAGTTTGTAGACATATATGTTTAGCGGTTTAAGATAAATACAATAGGCCATAGTTTGATTATTAATATTCAGATTTCTTTTCAAAAAAAAAAATACAATAGGCCATAATGTTTATTTCAATAAGTGATGTAATTTTATTAAGAAAATAAAGGAAAAATACAAACAAAATGGACAACAAGAATGAACCAAAATCAAAAGCAAAAGACCAAAAGGTCATATGATGATATGACAGGGAAGCAAAAGAAGACGAAAGACCAAAAATGATGGAAGAAGAAAAACCCGAGTTTAATTAGTTTAGGAGACTACGAGAGGAGAAAAGAAGAAGAAAATATGGGTCAGTATGTACCAAAAAGCCAAACACTAAAAACATCAGGAAACCTCTAGCAAGTAGCAATTGTCAAACAGTTATTGCATGGTTTTTTCTGTTAAAATTTTCATTTCAAAGTTGTTAAATTCAGAGAATAGGGTTAAGTTGCATACTACTAAGAGGATTGCGACAGTGAAACTTATACCTATATTGTTCATTTTTTCTTTTTAAACTGGCGATCGAGATTAAAATGAAGTAATTTTGAAAATAAAAAAACATACAACATGCGATAATTTTTCTTTTCATATTTACAAATCATCTCTCCACAATAACCATGACCGATCTCCTATTCTTCTCTCCTCCTCCACCTCTGTCGTCTGTTGATCAAAACACCAATATCTCCCTTTCTCTCCGTCGTTGTACGCTTTCTCCCTCCACTCATGCTATCTAAACCAAGCCGCTATTTCTCGAATCAATCGCCTCATCAGTAACGCTCTCCATCCGCCTTACCACTGTCTCTTTCGTCCAACATTTGATGCCTCACTCCCTCTCTCTCCTCCTACCGACGCTTGGCAGCTATAACACCCTGATAGAACCTGTTTCTAGGATACTATCGGTCGGATTGTGGAATTGGGATTTAGGGATTAAGAACAGAATTAGGGATTTGAGAAGAGAAGGATAGAGAATCGACCTAGGCCTTTAGAGCGATCGGGAGAATAGGGTTTAGGAAGGCTTTTCTTAATATTCTTCTTCACTCTTAAACGAATATCAAAGTACAGTTATATAGGGAAAGATCTAAAAGCCTAACAATAATCCTAAACTTAACCACCAAGTAATTATTTATTCTAATAATTATCTCTAATATGAATGTGGTAATTATAATAGAAACCCGTGGAAAGTAGGTTTCTATCATCCCCTCCCCCTTGAGACCAACCTTGTCCTCAAGGTTGACCGACTTATCCCACTCCTCCACTCTCCTTGTTCCGGCCAGGTGTCGTCTCAACCGCTTCTTGCGCTTCCTTTTCTTCCAATCCGGTATGAGGACTCGCATTGTCGATCTCGC